GGAAGGACGGTGCAAGTATACAGAAGTGCGAGAGTATCAATAACTTTTATTATCACCTGAGAGAGCCTGTTGAGAGCACCAATCGGAGCGCCCAGCTATTGCGTGCAGGAGCAAGACGGCGAAAGCGGAGGTGAGAGTGAAGTGCAAGATCTTAGCGTGCAGGATTGTTTTTTTAGAAATGCTTAGGGCGTTCTACATTTCTGCGAAGAGCCTACAATGGCTACTTATGTGAGCGGTGAGACTTTCTAAATCTTCAACACATCGACTATGTAACAGCGGCACAGTGAACTTCTCATACATTACCAACAACTAACAGAGGCGGATTCGTTAGGCTTAGGCCGCGGTGGACTTTGCCTGTTTCTTTCAGGTGGATTTCTTTTCCTTTTGTAGTTTTGTAAAAAACGCCAGGGTGAAGAGTAGTACATTGATTCGGGGGGGGGGGGGTTAATTGAATACTGAGCGACGTTCAGGCCTCTTAGGAAGGCCAACGCGATAATAAAACTCTTACCTAACCTCCATCATTGACACATATTACCCAACAACTACATGTACGACCTCCCTTACTTTCTCAAAGAATTCTCTGACAATGTGCCTGGGAGACAACAACGTGGGTTGGGAAAGTAATTAAAATGCTGCAGAAGTGATTTCTTAGAAAAGCAGACCCATCACAGACCCGTTTGTTACGAGCTGTTTAATGCTTCATTCGTAGTTTACATATAGACAAGGAGTACGAAACAATAGCCTTCATAGGGAACGGGCTGACCAAATCACTATGCTGGCACGAACGTGGAAACATAGACCAACCGTCTTTTGCACATGTTTCTCGACCTCACTATGAGAGACAACCAACACCGGCTTATGTAGCCATTTTTGAACAAATGTTGACCGTTCCAATGTCCAAAATCATGAAACTGATTTATTTTGCAAGAGTCTAATAAGCTCGTTACACAGTGCTGTTAAAGCGAAAGATTTAGTGCAAAGAAGTGATACATTATTTTAATCAATGTCATGATAAGATGCGTCCATCAATACGCAGACCCCTCACAGGACATTATAACAGCACAGTGCGAGAGAAATCTATGCGCATCACATACTTATAAGCTAGAAATCTATGAATAACAAAATTTAACAAAATTTCTCAATCAAGTACACGGGCATTACACAAAATGACAGCTTTCTACATGCCCAAAGAAGCGAAAACTGAAGAGTGACAAATTCAAGACCTTTCGATGCACACACTTTCCGCTTGATACTTTGATCAAGTACGGACCTAAAGGCACATTTCGCGATTAGCCCAGAAGAGACTCCAAGTAGATGACTTTAGTCCGCAAACAGTGAGGACGAGCCCTTTCCGCGGACCGAAAGTGCGCAGGAAGCAAACTGCAACCTTTCTCTTAAGGTCCATGAGGGCCATGCCGACGTTTTGTCCAGTTGCACGAGACGCATTTCTGCGAGTTCACTGTCTGTCTGTCTGGTCTCTCACCAATAGGTGCAATCCCCCTTCCTAGCTTTTGTTTGACTGACTTTTCACGGTTTATTTGTTTTTTTTCTTTGCTGCTGAGTTATTCAGCACCTTCACACTTCTTTAATAAACATACTATTCGCGACTTGTCGACGCGACGTGTGCCTTTGGAAAAGTCTTATTGATGTCTTTCTGAGCGAGCGAATACTGGCGAAATCAGTGACGTATCCAAAGGTCTTCAATCTAGTTCACATAACAAAACAAAAAAGTGGTATTTAAGCAGACTTATATCAAAGCAATGAGTTCATTTTTACGTATTAAACCTGACTCCGCATTAATATTAATGAAAGAATTGCTTGGAATTTATGTGGAAAATCTGTAAACAAATCGAGCACAAATAAAGAAAAAAAAACGAAAACAAAAGACTTTTTCTGCAGTTATACATGCGCAATGTCTCTTTGGACTTGTGTCACAAATAAGGAGGTCGGACATCTGCCACTAACGCGAGGATAACGAAGAGGTGGTGACACTAACATCTCTAGCGGATGAAACCCGTGCAAGAAATGAACAATACACACACATAATCACACGCACAGCCACAAACACATAGTAAACACAAGAATGACGATGTTTTGTCACGACAAGTTCAGTGTGAAATTGATTGATCATTTGAAAAAAAACCATTGAAAAATATTCATCGAGCTCGTCGAACAGTGAAAGTCAACCAAGGGTCACCATTGGTGGATTGGAGCAATAATTACAACAGACTATATATGCTTGAATCTAACACAGGAAATGACACTTCATTCAAAGGCTGTGCGAGAAAATCGGTTGCCTGGTCTGTGCAAGTAACGTCTGTATAAGGTCGTCCGTAGAGCTGGTCTGGGGCAGAAGCGGATTTTTTCCAGGAGTTGCCAAAGCGGCAGCTAACTGGGCAGATTGTTGTGCTCGTAGGAGAGTCAAGACATCGTTAGCACATGAAGTGGAAGGTGGTGTGACGACAGGCGCCGCTGTAAGTCCAAGAAGACTAGCCAGGGCGTTCTGTTGAAGCAGACCAGCGTTTTGAAGCAATACACTTGAGGGTAGGAGCGTGGCAAGAAGCTGATCAGCACTGAAACCAGTACCAAACGGTGCGGTAGTAGTAGCTGATGGCACTGGTGCGACACCCGACAACGACTGGAAGAAGTTTGGCGCAGTGACGGCTATCGGACTAGGACGTGGCAATGGGGCCGGCATCGGGAGTGTTGGCGCAGTGCTGAGTGTTGGAAGACCAATCGAAGCCGTCGTAGTTGTTGTAGCAGTGTCTTGCTGTGGAATGTTCGACGGTTCAGTAGGAACTATGGCAGGAGCATCCTGAAAATAATGAAAAATAGTCTTTAAAAATGCAATAATCCCAATACAAGACTGTAAGTTCAGGAAAACAAAGTGTATATACAGTGTCCCCCCCCCCCCCGAGCACTGCGCGTGAAATTAAATATGTCGTGCCATGAACGCACACAACTGGGTATACCGTAAGATTAAATCATCAGTTCAGATAAAACATATGAGGTGCGATATTCAGACTACGCCTGGGACCACCCTGTGCGCAGTGACCGCGCATAATACCACTTGATTTACGCCCAGGTGGCTCATAGCTTTGTGTGAAGAAAGGAGTTAGCATTGCTCTAGCTTCCTTCCTTCACCCAGGAGCACTCGGGGTGACTAAACGTCTTACAGTATTCCCAACTGTCAGCATTCGCGGCTCAAAACATTTACTTTCACGAGCAATTTTGGGGGTACTGTATACACCCTGTTTTCCTGCTCATAATCTGGTAATCCCAAGATGAACAGATCTCACCTCGCCAACAAACACTTTCATAGCAGGAATCGTCGGTAGAAGAATGTAGCGACCTTTTTTCTCCTTCAGATTTGGCGGTGAGACCTTCGGGATTTCTTTCGGCCCATCCTGCAAAGGGAAAATATGAAGCGTCAGGCTCTGCTTTAATACATTAGAAAAAACGACGCTGTCCGGCTCGGAAGGGGCATTTTGCACTTCCTGTCAATTTACACGTTATGGAGGAATCTGTAGATTCCTGTCAAGTGTGGACGAGATTTCCGCTATTGCACTGCTTTACAGGAATACACAGGTTTCTACAGGTGGCATCGGCAGTGATCGACGGGAACCACCACATGCCCCACCAAGCCAAACTGCGCCAAAAAACCCCATGTCTGCTAGTATTTCAGCTCGTGTTAAGACAGCTGTAAACCCCCGAACGAGAACGGGTCACTTTTTTAGAAGTTGAACATTTGGATCATTTGGGAACGTGAACTTGATCCCTTCTTTTGGTATGGGCAGACGGACTTTACCATTGCCGTATCTGCTCGTCCTTAAGTGGTCAAGAACTGGACCTTCCCCGTCCCCAGAACTTCAATAGATTCGTTTTTTCCAGTCTAGTAAAAAAGGCTCCCTGACCCCAGGGAAATATGGAACTATTCAAGAAGGGACGATTTCTGCATCTACTCCATTTCAGGGTGAACAAAAAAGAAATCCCAGCCCGTTTGGTTTTTTTCTGGGGAAAAAATCCACAAATGTACCTACGTAGGCCGTTTGCCAAATCAGAGTGGGTGCCAGAGTGCTAGGCCGTTGTTTAGCAACACCTTTCCGATTATGTAACACCGAAAAACCCTGGTCGTTCTATGGATCCACCTAAAATATCATTTTGCAAAATTGGGTTTCCCACAGCAGAGATGAGGATTTTTGCCTGAGTCCAAAGAGGGCAGAAGCTTGTATGCCTATTTACATGAGTGTACTTAGGTGGTTTAGGTTCCATTTTTGCACAAGAAGTCATTGAATTGTCCACACCCTTTGAAAGGCTATCACGCCCCCGCGGGAGCTTCTGCAATCCTGGAGGCTTATATCTACTGGAGGACTTGAACTGATTTTGGGCTATACTGTCGCCACAGGAAAGGTTTTAAGGGTCTTTTCTAGCTTATGGGAGCTGGACCAAAACTCTTTTCGGCTTTCCAAGCATTCCCGTAAGGTGGGGTAAGTGGGACAGATAAACACAGCCTTAGTGGTTCACTAATTTCTAAGATATAAGCCAAGCACTTCGGCAGTATAATGGCTTCACTCATCACGCGCGGTCCGGATCCAGTTCCGGATCATTTCCTGCCGTTCCCCCCTCTGGCGCCGGCTAACTGGTGTCAGACTCGACGGACGAAGACACTGACGCGTACGTCCCCGAAACTCATTGTACGAGCGATACCACTTTTGATCCCTCCCCCCTCCTCAGCGAGCTGATGAAGTAGAATTTGTGCCGCTTCCCGGACGGGACTGCAATAACGACAAAAGCTTTTACCGTTTACCCCCGCATTGGCGGCATCCGGTGCTTAGGAATAGGGGGCCACTTCCATGCAGGTAGGCAATGCACTTAAAGCTTCAAAGCTCTTTTTTGCAGAGGCCTTTAAGTGCGCCTGGCAATCAACCAGCCGGAAGCCCTTCCCTACTCCCCTGCTCGGCGTTCCAAGGGTTCACTGGAATCAAAACGTGCGGAGAGAACGATGGCTTGGTGCACTTTTGCGGAACTCGCCGAGGGGATGTAAAAACCTATGCAGCTAGTTGTAGTCAAATGCGAGTACAAATGAGCCCCGAGTCAGTTCAAAAAAGCCGACGCGGGACCTGCCTGGGACAGTATAGCTGTGGGAGCAGACTCCTAAATATCACCGAGGATAGAATTTTACCTTACTAAAAATCGGGGCTGTTCTTGAGAGGGGCATTTTGCACTTTCGCCCATTCCTTAGGCTAGGTCATGTGAACTAACAGGGGTCATTCTGGTCGGACTGTAAACCCTTTGAAGCTGTAAATGGCACAAGTGAATTTTGTTGGAGGAGTTTATAGACCTTCACAAGATGGCCCAGCCCGTACAGGTTTCGATGAACACCATTTGCTGCTCCCACCAAGGCGAACTGCACCTTATAATCCACTGATTGCCTGTTTACTTAAAACCATCGATTATAGCAAGGCCCCGGAATTACCCTTGCACTCTTTTCATGGCCTCTCCCTATCCATCAGTGCGCTACCCAAAAGTTCATGTGGAATGGTGAAGTGGACGAGGAGAACGACAACAACAACGGCCGCGGCAAAGTGCAAGAGTCCATCACGTCGCCGCGATCCTTCGAAAAAATTGCCGCTCGCGACGTCGCGCGCACTGAGATCAGCGAGTTCACGAAAACATGTTGACGACGAGAAACGAGCGACATTGAACGGGGCAAGAAGTGCAGCGCACGCAAATAATCGCGCCAAAAGTGCAGGCACATACGCGGAGAGATGGGATGTCTGACCGTCTCGTGCACTCCACCACCTTTCCATTATTTCCCCATGTGTGGGTGTGCAAAAACCGTGGTACGTGAGCGCACTTGTTTGCGTTTATAGCGCGGAACCGCTACCGACATTGTCATGACGACAAGGGCGTCTTGAACCTTTTAGACCGATCGACAGTATTCTTCGGACAAAAAAGTCATTGGCGAAAATCACCGGCCGATAACGGTCAATGTCGTTGAAAATCTGTTGACCTTCATTGAGGACTTTGAACCACCTAAAAAATCCAGACCATCGCTCACCGCGATAATCTTGTCCGATTGGAACAACACATTTTATCCACGATAGATAGCAAGCAGCCCATTCAACAAAACAACCACAAAAACAGTTATCAGAGGAGGCCATTTGACAGACGGGTTCTAGACTTTGCATAGTGATTCCGTGCATAACTCTGACTCAGACCGGCTAGACATTCAGGGGAGACTAGCGCCGATCCTTCCTGCATAACTCGCTGAATTGGCCCAATGGTCAAAGAACAGTGCCTTTGGGACAAAAGATCTTCCAGCGAGGGTCGTATTTGCCTTTGTCAAAAATGTTCGCAGGTGCTGACTTTTCTCGGCTTTTCCCGTTTCACGTGGTTTTCCCGTGCGCTATCCCCTCGACGAGGTTTTTTTAGTCGGGAAACAAAGAAAAAAAACTCTGATAAAGTAGTGGGATTGAGAGAGCTTGGGGAATTGTGGGTAGAATGAGCAAGGAGTCCTATCGGAGGAGGGAATTTTGAGAGGGGGCCCTATTTGGCAAAATTTGTTTCAACGGCAGAACGTGCTTCGTTAGAGAGGCCTCTCATTTCCTATCATTTCTTTAGTGCAAGGGACCGATTCCTGACCAAGATAATCAAACCCTTTGTAACAGCCTAATTGGAGCCAGAAATGTCCCAGGTAACAAATGCGGTAGATTACGAGCGGGAAACCAGCAATGCACCCAAACGGCTCAAAGTTTCCAAATGGGCGTCCAACGCACGGATCCATTGGAAACGGAAACTGAGCCCAGAGACGTTCCTTTGACCCTCCAAGTCTAGATCTACCCTTCTGAAGTCCACCAACCAGAAGTGGAGCAATTCAGCTGAGGGGAGGGGGTGCATTTCAACAGCTGGCGGGGGGGCAAACCAGGGATTGCCCTCATGAAGATGATAAGTTGCGCATCAACCCTGGGAAGGAGGAGCTCCGGAGTGGGTGAGTCTATTCCTTCATACAAAAAGGGGTTTCCATCATGGTAATATCCCAGATATGGCCCCTCTCTTGCACAAGGAAACCCCAACTTTAGCAGCAGCATTCATGCCAGAGCAATTCGTCTGGGCGGGGGGCATACTGCAACATCAATACTTACCATTGCACCCCGCGACGCTGGTTGGTCTAAAGCGATGGTCTCACCCTAAGCCACCGAATCTCAAGGCCAAAAAGAAGAATGTATTCCATCATCAGCCACGAATGTCACGAATGTTCAATACAATTCTATCTCGCCGCTCCTGCCCAATGAAAGTGTCCAGCTGTTGGACAAGATAAAGGATATACTAAACAACAAGGTTCCCGAAGTCTTACCTCTCCTGGAACAACTTTTGAGTAAGTTATCGAACTTTCCCAAAGAATTCGCAGAAGCAGAAAAGCGCCAGCGGTCAGTGATACTGTTCGGTGTTCCTGAACCAGATAAGCATCTACCGGCTTCTTCGCGTCAGGCATACACCGAATCAGTCGTTACTGGCCTGCTGGACGCCCTCGACATCGAAACGCGTCCTGTGGAAATACATAGGATCGGCAACGCTGTCGAGGGAAAACCTAGACTTGTAAAATGCCTATTTCCATCTCGTCGGCACTGTTTTGATATACTATCGAGAGCGAAGTCCTTGCGCACGTTTCCAATGTATAAGGATATTTTCGTAAGAAAATCAATGACCAGAGAAGAGCGCGAGAAAGACAAGGAGTTACGCAGGCGAGCACGTGAACTCAATCAAAAGAAGCACAACGGTGAGCGTATATTACGTCGTTTATAAAGGAGAACTCACCAAAAGTGACGGACATACCCGCAGCCAAACTAGATAATTTTCATTCAAATGACCAGGGTTTTCCCATACGCCCTGCGCCAAGCACAAGTCATTGACCCCCACCTGTACACTATTAAATGCCAGAAGCTTGACGAACAAAATTTTTCACTTTCATTGCTTTCTAAGTTAGCGTTAAACCTTGTATTGCCTTTTGTGACTGAATCATGGTTAAGCAGTTCAGTCTCTGATTCCGAAATCTGTTCAAATCTCCCCTACAATATCATTCGAAAGGACAGGATAGCTAGAAGAGGAGGAGGTGTATGCGTTCTCATTCATAACCTACTGCTTTATGAAAACATCTCTTTCAAATGCAATAACCTAGCCGCTGACGTGATATGCGTTGATATCCTTTTGCCTACTAGTCGTAAACATCGCTTCTTGCTTATTTACCGCCCGCCCAATTCAACTAGCGTCCAAGATGACCTTTTGTTATCAGTCATTTCTGACATGGCTTCTGCAACTCCTATATTCACAACTGTTTTGGGAGACCTGAACCTAAATGTTGACTGGTCACCTCAAATGAAATATTCGCCCGCAGCCAAGAAATTCCTGACTCTATTTGACTCGCTATCCTTGGTGCAAATTGTTGACTTTCCAACACGTCAAGGCAAAATCCTTGACCTGATCTTTTCGTAAGTACAAGACAGCATTTCCTACATTTATGCGATGTCGCCGCTGTCTACATCTGATCATACCACTGTCGCTTTTACCATGCCTGCAATCACCAGCGACAAACGTCCTACCCTCATTCGAGATTATAAACTTGCTAACAAAGATGCAATCGCTTATCATCTATCTCATATAAATTGGTATGAAATCTTTGATAACTATCATAGCATCGATGAGTTATATGGACGTTTCTGCGATATCATCCACTGCCTTATTGATTCATTCATTCCCCTGAAAGAAATCATTGGTCGTACGTCTGGTTACCCTGCCCACATAAAAAATCTACTCCAACAGCGAGAAAGGTTGTTCTTTCAGATAAGAAACCCTTATAAATCAGCTCTCTATCAAAAAATCAATAAAGAACTAGATCACCACTTGAAACGATTCCTAGCACATAGAGAAAAAAAGCTTAGTGGTACATGTAACCTGAAACAACTTGCGGCCTATATTAGGACGTTCATTAATCATGCCCCAGTGGAGCAGGTTCTTGAAGGGCCAGATGGGAAAAAATATATCACCCACGAAGAGAAAGGTGAAGCTTTGGCTGACTATTTCGAAAGTGTATTTGTTCAACCGACAAATAGATATCAACTAGCGGCTCCTAATGTTGGAAAATGCTTCCAACTACCTGTCATTACTTCGCATATGGTGTTCAAAGAACTACGTGCTCTTAAGCAGTCTTTCTCAATTACTGCAGATGGGATACCGCAATGTTTCTTCAAGCTGTTCGCTAAAGAAACTTGCGC